TGATGATGCTGATGCTGCTGATGGTGCTGATGGTGATGATGAGGATGCTGATGATTCTGATGATGCTGCTGACGATGATGCTGATGACGATTCTGATACTGATGCTGATGTTGATGATGCTGTTGACGATGCGGATGACGATGATGCTGATGATGATGCTACTGATGATGATGATCAGTATGCTGATGATGATGATGATGATGATGATGCTGCTGATGCTGATGCTGATGCTGATGATGATGCTGCTGATGATGATGCTGATGATGCTGATGCTGATGCTGATGCTGATGATGATTATGCTGATGATAATGATGCTGATGCTGATGCTGATGCTGCTGCTGTTGATGATGATGACGATGATGCTGATGATGATGATGATGCTGATGATGATGCTGATGATGATGACGATGGTGATGCTGATGATGATGCTGATGATGATGATGCTGATGCTGATGCTGATGCTGATGCTGATGATGATGATGATGATGCTGATGATGCTGATGTTGTTGTTGATGATGATGATGATGATGATGATGATTATGATGATGATGCTGCTGCTGATGATGATGATGATGATGCTGATGCTGATGATGATGATGATGATGATGATGATGATATGAATGGATGATGATGATGGAGATGATGATGATCTGACGATGATGCTGCTTCTGATGAGGTGAGGATGCGATGAGGATGGAGGAGGAGGAAGGAGATGAGGAGCAGGGAGGGAGGATGGGAATGAGCAGGAGAGGAACAGGACGAGGAGGAGTAGAAGAGGAAGCGGGGGAAGGAGGAGGAGGAGGAGGAGACGAGGAGGAGGATGATGATGCGGTGGGAGGAGGAGGAATCTGATGAGGATCAGGAGGGATGCGGAGGAGGGAATCTGAGGGGCAGGAGGAGGATGAGGAGTCCCATGGGGAGGGGGAGGATAGGACGAGGAAGGCGGAGTAGGAGTAAGGAGGGATTCGGAATGGATTGAGGCGGAGTGGGAGGAGATGAGGAGGTATGAGGAGGATGTTGAGAGGCGGACTAGGAGATCACAGAGGATAGGATGATGAGGAGGCGGATTAATAGGGAATGAAGGAGGAGGAGGAGGATGATGAGGAGGGTTAAACGCAGTTTGGAGCAGGAGGAGAGAGGAGGCGGAGGGAGGAGGAGGAGGAGGCGGAGGAGGAGGATGGGTGAGGAGGAGGAGAGGAGAGGAGGAGGATGATGAGGAGGGAGGAGGCGGAAGAGGAGGAGGAGAGCAGGAGGACAGACGGAGGAAGGAGGACGAGATGAGGATGAGGGGAGAGTGGCCGGAGGAGGAGGAGGAGGAGGACAGAACGAAACAGGAGGAGGAGGTGGAGGAGGAAGAGGAGGAGGAGGAGGAGAAGAAGGTAGAGGAGGAGGAGGGTGGGGTGGGGAGCATGAGGAGGAGCAGGAGGAGGCGGATGGGCGAGGAAGAGGAGGAGGAGGAGGAGGAGGAGGAGAAGACCGAGGAGTAGGAGGAGGAGGAGGAGGAGGAGGCGGGAGGCGGAGGAGGAGGAGGAAGGAGGAGGCGGATGAGGATGATACGGACGACGGGTAGGATGATGAGCATGCTGCTGATGATGAGGATGCTGATGCTGATGATGCTGATGGTGGTGGTGGTGATGATGATGATGATTATGCTGATGGTGAGGATGATGATGGTGATGCTGATGATACTACTGATAATGATGCTGCTGATGACGATGATGATGCTGATTCTGATAGTTCACCTGATGATGCTGCTGATGATGCTGATACTGATGCAGATGACGAGGAGGATGGTGATGACCATGATGGTGATGATGATGATGATGATGATGATGATGATGATGATGATGATGCTGATGCTGATGCTGATGCTGATGCTGATGCTCATGCTGATGCAACTGATGCTGCAGGTGATATTGATGATTGTGATGCTGATGCTGTTGATGATAAGCCAAAGATGATGATAACGATGATGCTGCTGATGATGCTGATGTGACTGTTCATGTTGAGTATGGTGACTCTGATGATGGTGATGATGATGCAGCTGGTGATGATGATGCTGCTGCTGATGATGATGATGCTGATTGTGATGATGCTGATGATGTTGATTTTGATGGTGATGCTGATGCTGATGCCGCTGGTGATGGTCATGTATGTTAGGATGATGAGGATACTGATGATGATGCTACTGATGATGAATATGTTGATGATGATGATGATGATGGTGCTGATGATGATGATGATGATGATGATGGTGATTATGCCGCTGTTGATGACGAGGATAACGTTGATGACTGTGATGATGCTGATGATGACGTTGCTGATGATGATGCTGGTGATTGTGCTGATAGTGATGCTGATGGTGATGATGATAATGATGATCATGACGATACTGATGATGATACTGATGATGATGCTGATGATGCTCTTGATGCTGATGATGCGGTTGATGCTGATGATGATGTTGATCATGATGATGAGGAGGAGGATGTTGATTATGATGATGGTGATGATGATGATGATGATGTTGATGCTGCTGATGATGATGACGATGACGATGACGATGCCGACGACGACGATGACGATGATGATGCTGCTGATGATGATGATTATGATTATGATGCTGATGGTGATGATGATGATGCTGATGATGATGATGATGATGATGATGATGATAATGATGTTGACGATGATGATGATGATGATGATGATGATGATGATGCTGATGATGATGATGATGATGATGATGATGATGATGATGATGCTGATGATGATGATGATGATGATGATGATGATGATGATGATGATGCTGATGATGATGCTGATGATGCGGATTATGCTGCTGATGACGATGCGCTGATGATGATGATGATGATGATGATGATGATGATGATGATGATGATGATGATGCTGCTGCTGATGATGATGATGCGAGATGGAGTATGAGGAGGAGGAAGAGGAGGACCAGTGCATTCCCAAGACTCATCCACGATATTTCAACAAACCCTCCTTCCAGTTCCCTCAGGGATGTGTCCCGTTGGAAGACAACCGTTAGAACATCCGGAATTGTACCATATCAATATTCTTGTGAGACCAATGTCGCGAATCACCGTATTGATGCGTCTTGACGATCCTGAATCGTGCCAGAGCACTATTCCTGGCATTTTCAACACCGCGAATCAACGTGACTGTTGCGCCCTGCCGACATCGTACCAAACACCTTTCCCGGGACGTCAACCATACAAATCCTTGAAATTGTTGCAAACTCGGCGCTGCGACGAGAGCCAAATATAAAAAAAAGAACTGCACTCCATCCGTGACAGTCTTGCAAACTTTGAGAACGAATGTGCGCGGTGCTGAGGCGAGAGCTATATTTTGAACATCGCCCGCCCTCGATCCGTGAAGTTGCAATTGTTATGGCTAATCTGTGTGGCGCTAAGGCGAGGGCCACATTTTGAAAGCGACCCGCCCTCCATCTGTGAATCTCTTGCAAGTTCCAAGCGTCAGGATCATACATGGAGAGAAGGTCTCAGGCGAAACGCCTGGCCCGCCCTTTCGACCGACCTCGGGATGTGACAGGGAGGAGTTATTCACAGTTGCGCTGCCGCGCGATTCCGCCATCGCGCTCGTGCGGGCTGGGGGGGGAGGAGGAGGAGGAGGAGGAGGAGGAAGAGGAGGAGGAGGAGGAGGAGGAGGAGGAGGAGGAGGAGGAGGAGGAAATGGAGAAAGAAGAGGAGGAGGATGAAGAGGAGGAGGACGAGTGAGGAGGAGGAGGTACGAGGAGGAGACTGGAGGAAGGCCGCGCGTAGCACGGTTGGGGCTTGGAGGGCGGCTGAGGGGGTGAGCTGGGCAGGTGCTGACGTGCCCTGGCGGTTGGCTGGACAGGCCCGCTGCCCGCGTTGTCCCCGCCGCTCGTCGTCGTGGTGGTGGTCGTCGTCGCCGTGGGTCGTCGTCGTCGGCGTCGGCGTCGTGGTTCGTCGCCGTGGTTTGTCGTCGCCGTGGGTCGTTGTCGCCGTGGGTCGTCGTCGCCGCCACGGGTCGTCGCCGTGGTGGTGCTTGTGGTGGTGGTGGTCGTCGTCGTCGTCGTCGTGGGTCGTCTCCGTGGGTCGTCTCTGTGGGTCGTCTCCATGGGTGTCGTCGTCGTCGTCGTCGCCGTCGCGCAGCAGGCCACTGGATGCCGCCTGCAGGGAAGACATCTGGCGCAAATTTGCCGAGTCTGCAGAAGTCGAAAGCCCCCCCCCCCCAGGGATGTCCTCAGGCGCGTTCCGACCCGAACTTGGAGGCGAATCCAGCCGTGGAGGCGAAGGCGCCTCAGGAGGCCCGAAAAGGGCTCAGAACCCCCCGAAACCTTGATCTTCTTCCTGCTCCTTCAGGCCTTCGAGATGCGGATCCTGTTAGCACCCGCTCGAGGCCCTTGATCACCCTCTCACCAATCCAGCAGCAGATCCCTGGGCGAGGGGGGTCGTCTGAGAATGGAAAACAGTCGATCCGGCCAGACGAGGGAGGACACCCGGCAGCAGGGGAGAACGGGGAGCAGGCGACACGAGGAGGACCTCCTCCTTCTTCTCCTCCTCCTCCTCCTCCTCCTCCTCCTCGGTCTCCGGTTCCTCCTCCGCCTCCTCCTCCGCCTGCTCCTCCCCCGCAGCTCTCTGGACGTGTCTAGGGCTCCCTTGCGATCCTCGATCTTCCTCCTCCTTCTCCTCTTCCTCCTCCTCCCTCCCTCCCTCCCTCCCTCCCTCCTCCTCCTCCTCCTCCTCCTACTCCTCCTACTCCTCCTCTCCTCCTCCCTCATCTTCATCTCCTTCTCCTCTTTCTTTACTCCTCCCTCCTCCTCCTCCTCCTCCCCTCCTCCTTCTCCCTCCTTCCCTCTCCTCCTTCCTCCCCCTCTCCTCCTCCTCCTCCCCCTCCTCCTCCTCCTCCTACTCCTCCTCCTCCTCCTCCGCATTGTCCCTCTTCACTCCGTCTCCTCCTCTTCCTCCGTCCTCCCAGCTTCCTCCCTCCTCTCCTCCTCTCCTTCCTCATTCTCCTGCTCCCTCCTTCCTCCTCCTCCTACTCCTCCTACCCTTCCTCCTTTTCCTTCTCCTCCTCCTCCTCCTCCTCCTCATCCTCCCTCCTGCGCCTCTTCCTCCTTCTTCTCCTCCTCCTCCTCCTCCTTCCCGTGCCGACGCCTTTTGGAGCTGGGCGACGGGAAAGCCTAGGGGGCGCACGGGGTGTCATTAAGAGCCCTGTGAATTCGAAGGTCACCCCAGATTAGCCCCCGAACCTGTGAATGGCTGGGTGGCGGAGTCGGGGGAGGTGGAGGAGGAGGAGGAGGAGGAGGAGGAGGAGGAGGAGGTTTTTGCTGCAAGAACGATGCCTGGCGGTCCCCGCCCCAGCTCGCCACATGAGAGTAGGATAGGCGGGCACTCCGCCTTGGGGTGCCATCCCGCCTCTGTCCTGATTCAGTCCATGAGGCACTCCCAGAAGGCGGCGCACTCCTCCTGTACCAGGGAGCGCGGCACCGCCTCCAGGGAGACCTTCACTGCGTAAGGATTTCTGCCTCGGCGCAGGAGCGAGAGGCGGTACCCCGCGGTGGGGTTCGCTGGGGCCCCTTCGCAGGCACCCAGGAGCTTGCACCCCCTCTCGCTCGAGAAGACACCGCACCGATCGCAGAAGGTATACTGGCCCACGCGGTGCAGCTCGTGCCCCAGGGCCGCACCGCGGAGGGCGGGAGAAATGTCTCCTTCCCCCTCCCCCCGCCCCAGCCCGACTCCCCAACGACGATCCACCCTCATCTTACCCTGGCATGGCCTGCGCGCCGGCGCGCGCCTGGTCTTGCTGGAGAAGGCCTTGCGGCCACACGTCGAGCAACGCCACGCCCCCCTCTTCCAGAGGAGGACGTGGGCGCGGGCCCCCTCGGGCGGCCCTTGCCGCCGTCGGCGGGCTCCGCTGGAGCCCGCGGCAGGCCTCCCCGTGGAATCCCCGAAATCCGCCGTCAGCCCCGTCACCCCCGCCACCAGAGTCAGCACCGCCTGGACCTCCGCCGAGCGGGTGGTCCAGGTCTGGGCCTTCCACGGGGGGACCTCCTGCATGTCGGCCCCAAGGCGGGCCTGGCTGTCTGCTAATTGATTCCCTTGAAAATCGAGAAAGCTTTCGTGCGAGTCATCCTTTGGCCCGCGAGCGTGAGCTTTTACCTTGACGGCCTGGAACTCACCTTCCTGACTGAAGCTGTCCTGGAGCAGGGCCCAGATCCTTCCCCAGAGGTCGGCGTGCGGCCTCCGAGGGCTGCAGCACCAGCGGGGACCCCTACGGAGGCCTCGAATGACTGAACTACTGTCGATCCCTACCCTCAAAGGCGGGTGAGCGCTATCCAGCAGCTTGAACAATCCATACAATTCAGCACGGAGGACGGAGGCGAGGCTACGCAGCCCTGGGAGGGTACCCCGCATGGCCTTGACAGCCCCCTCGTCCTGGTCCAGGAAGACGTAGCCCCAACCGAAACTCTTGAGCCCTGGTGGGCCTCTGGCCGATCCGTCGGAGTAGGCCCACCCTGAGACCAGCGGGGGATTCACAAAATCGGGATTTTCTTCCTCCAGGGCAGAAATCCAATCAGACTGCGGGTCCTCCAAGGGGTGCTCGTGAAGCCCACGGGAGAAGAGGAGGGAGTCCGAGGAGGAGGATTCAGCACGATGCACGATCCCTTGGAGGCCCTCATCCTCGGCGACGGTGGCTCTCGCTGCTCCTCGGTCTGGGCAACGACAGAAACGATGGTGCTGACATCCGACTTCAGCGCCACAGGCTTGACAGGACCTGTCGTCCCCGAAACCCGCGCGCCAGACTTTTTCTTGGGTCCAGAAGTCGCGGCCCATGGAGGCCAGGATAGCCGATCGCCTCTGCGGTGATCGGTTAGCCTTTCGTCGAAGGAGAGCCCGAATAGGCTCGAGGAAAGGACGGGTGATCCCGAGGTCCCTGGAGGCCGCCCAGGAGGTCATCACCGCGAATTCCAGACGGGACCAGATCAGCTTCTTGAGACACTGCGGTGCCGTCCTGCGCAGCTCCCACTGCTGCCCGAGATGGTCGGAGAAAACGTGAGGGGCAGTCCACGTCCACGAGAGGAGACGAAGAGTGGCCCAGACGGCTGAGGCAGGTCCTTTTATCTGTCTCCAGGGGTTGCTCCCAGGCTTGGCGGCAGCGGCCGCCGCAACAGCTCTGCGCCACCCCGCAGCCATGAGCTCATCATGGCTGCCAGCAAAGGTAGCCTCCGCCCATTTGAGCAGTGGCTTCGTGCAAGCGTCGACCAGGGGGTCGCAGCGAAGCGTCCACAGGCGCAGCAGTCGGTCCTTGCCGATTGCATTCCCGCCCAGCGCTGAGGCCATGAGAGCCCTCGCTCGGGTGAGCCGAGCCGGGTCCATTCCGAGGCAGACCGCCCCATACAGCACAGAAGGGGGGAATCCCATGCGCGCGACTTGAAAGGTGCGCGCGCCCTGCTTGCCGAGACTCGATAACTTGCTTCTACGTCGCCGAGCGCTCCCCATCCTGGCATCGGCTCTGGCGCGCAGCGACACAACTCCTCCTCCCGCCGAGTCAACTCCGAGCTGCGTGCTGCTGGCCTGGACCTCCAGTCCAAGGCTGTGGGCCCAACCTTTGATGCGGGCTCGCAAGGAGCGCTGCGCTGTCATGATGAACCCCTTGCCCGTTGGCTTGTCTGGTCGGACCCTGGAGACGGGGATCCCACGGGCCTCCATTTCTTCTATATATTGGGTCGTGGCCGCATGCAGCGAGGCCGAGACATCCGCCTCCGCACCTCGCGCCTGAATGCTTAAATCGTCGACAAATAGCTTTAGCGGCATGGCTGGGTGCTCTTGCGCCAACCCGTCTACGACCGACAATATGGCTAGCTTGAGGCATCTCGTGCCCCCGCTGCTACCAGCAATGACTGCAGAGAATGTGGTGACCGAGTGCACCGACACCACGCCGCGGAACGAAACAAAACGCATGGCCGTGTAAATCGAGATTAGGAGCTTCAAAAGCTGCAACCGAAACTGATGCTTGGGCGCCTCAGCCCACAGCAGGTACATCGTGACGTGCTCGAAAGCCTTCTCCAGGTCTAGGACCGCTGTGCCCGTTGCGTCCCCAGGCTGGGCTCCTTCGTCGAACAACATTTGCTGCCATATCGCTTCCTCTGAGCCACCGCCTGGCGCCGCGAAGTCGTAGTCCCGTTGAATCTCCCGCTCCCAGTCGTGGAACTGATGCGAGTGCGCGCGCTCCACCAGCCGCGCGGCAGTGGCGAGGAGGCCGATGGGCCTGGTCCCCCCACCCTGCTTGGCCAGCAGGAAGTACATCACGTAGCGCAGCTGTGGGGGCCACCTGGCCGTGCGCGACACGTAGGCGACGAAGGCGGTCAGGAACGCGAGCCCTTCGTCCCCCGAGCTCGCGAACCACCTGGGGTGCCAGTTGTCCACCCCGGCCCCCGTGTGCTCGGGGAAGGCCCTGCATATGGACCTGATGTCGTCCGCTGTCGGCTCGACCATGCTAAACTCGAAGGTGGCCGACTCCCAGGGACGAGGGAGCTCGCCTCGACTCTGGGCGCCGTGGGAGGTCCAGAGGTCGATCCACTTCAGCGCCTCCAGGTCGACCGCAGCCTGAGGGCACGTCATGTCCAGATTGGTGTGCCCTCGGGCCCCGAGCGTGGGGTCGACCCCCTGGCGCCACTTCGACATGCGGTGGACGAAGCCTGCACCTCCTTGTGAGCCGTCCTTGAGCCTCTGGCGCCACGCCTTGGCCCTCTGGTCTCGGAGGCCCTGCTCGATGACGTGGGCCTGCTGCGTGGCCCGACGCTGCAGCTCCATGGCCCTGGGGGCGTCCTCCCAGAGCGCGTCGCCGTCCCAGGTGAGGTCGCCCAGCGC